AAGTTGATCAGGTACACGGTGCTCGGTTTCCACGGCTTCATCCGGTAACAGAACACCCAGAGAGCGAGTCCATTGCCCACGCAGCCGATGATGAACTCGATGAAAAGAGTTGGCTTTAAGACGAGGGGTAACCAGTTGTTGGTGAGAGTACAGTTGAAGGCAGGGCTTTCCATAGTTCCTGTACATTCAGGGCTGATGTTAGAGACTGATAAGGTCCTTGATGAGGAGAAGGTATTTATTGGACTGAGACCAAGCCACTTCCTCAGAAATTGACCAGTCAAAGGAAATCACATGCCAAAATGTGGTCATTTTCTCGAAGTATTACTTTACTGCCTCAAGGTTGCATTGTATATTTTCCAGTTCCTGTTTCTTCTTGTGCTCAGAATTCACCAACTTATTGTTAACAAATACTGGTGGGTGACAGTTGGTGAAATCCCCTACTTAATGAAACATTTTGAAAATACTTGCATACAGGGAGTGTATTAGCTGCAATGAATGAGGAACTATTGTTTAATTATATATATAATATAATAATACTTTTTATATTCATGTTCCATTTCATTGAGGCTTTTAAATCGATGTGATGTTGATGAGTTGTCAAATTACATCGATTGTGAAGGCCTGCGCTGTAACTAATAAAAGAACTTCCTGCAGCACAAATTCCATACACTCACAGCATTTGTTTGCTAGCCATTCGTTTTCATCAGTTGCTAAGTTATTCAATTTAATCATAACAGATACATTTATACTTCATATAGCACATACTGTGTACATGGTGGCGCGGTCTTGCTGTCTTGCAGAGCCAAGCTCCTGGGTTGCATTCTAGACCTGGGGTTCTATCTGTGTGGAATTTCCAGGTTGTTCCCTGAGTTTGCATGGGTGCTCCAGTTTCCTCCTGCTCCTGAAACATAGCATGATAGGGTTACGACCTTTTATCCTCTCATGTTCAGGATCTGTAAGTCCCGGGTTCAGCTCTGGACTGAGCTGGGCCCCTTCTGTATATAGTCTGGAAGTTCTCACCATGCTCATGTGTTTGCAGGGGAGCGTTCAAAATCCTCCTACCAAAGACACGCTGGCCAAGTTAACCGATGTCTCTGAATTGACACAGTGTGCTTGTGTGTGTGTTTCTGCACCCCGAAATCAGATGGCATCCTATCCAAGGTGTAGTCTGGCCATGTGACCTGTTCATCTGTGCAGGTCCTATATTGCCATGTTACTAACCAAGAAGAAGAGATAAAGGTTGGAGTGAATCTAGCCATTTACAAGTGCCCTCTGGTTGTGCTACATACACAGTAGATACACATATTCATGTAATTGGCTATTAAGCATAATAGAGAAGATGACATCACATAATATGTTCCAGTGGCTGGAGGAGGTCTTTTCGTGTACAATTCACCACTGTCTGGGGAGTAGTATTGCGAAGCCAGTATCGGACCAAAATGTAACCTGTGCTTCAGGGACAAAGCACATGTCGTCTGTTACTTGGTTCCTAATGTCCAAGCAGGGAACTGCGTCAGCATGCGTAGGCAGCAAAGGAACAAGTAAATGTTTATTCCATGCTGAAAAGAAAAGAAAAGAAACGTCTTCACAAAAAGACACTTCTTCACACCTGAAGAAGGCTCCACAGCAGAAACGTTGTGTTTATTTTCTTCTCCTTTCAACATGGAATACACCTTTTTCCGATCTGCTGCCACAAGATGGCGCTTGTGAGTCTGATCTTTACAAGTTGTTCACAAGTGAAGCTGTATGTCCTGAGGTATAATAATAATAATTAATAATTGCTTACACTTATATAACGCTTTTCTGGACACTCCATTTAAAGCACTTTAGAGGTAATGGGGTCTCCCCTCCACCACCCCTAAAGTGCAGCCCCACCTGGATGCAGCCATAGTGCACCAGTACACTCACCACACACCAGCTCTCAGTGGGGAGGAGAACAGAGTGATGAAACCAGTTCAGAGATGGGGATTATTAGGAGGCCATGTTTAGTAAAGGCCAGGGGAAAATTTTGCCAGGACGCTGGGGTTACAACCCTACTCTTTATGAGAATATGATATGGCTGCTGCCGTAAGCAGTACTCGTTTTACCACTGTCTGAAAGATGTTTCTTATGAGCTGTCCATAAGGTCACTCGACAGGTAATTTATCAGACAAGTTTTATATACAGTATAAACTTGAAACAGATCTTTCACAGATTTGTACCACGTAAAATGTACCAGCCACACTTTAACCTCAGTGAACTCCTTTTTATACTTACAGTACAACATTTTGTGTTTTAAGGACATACAGTATATTAGGGCAACAACATCACAGTATGACAGTATTTTGATTTGCTGTAAGTCCAATAATGTATACGGATCACTTCCGGATTGTGAAGTTGATTAAAATTTTAATTTAATCTTATATTTGTTCATGGGAGGCATTATGGCACAATAGTTAGCCTCACAGCGCTGGGGCCCCGTTTTCAATTCCTGGGGGTGCTGTTTGCGTGGAGTTTGCATGTTCTCCCTGTGTTCTTGTTGGTTTCCCCCAGGTGCTCTGGTATGCTCCCACAATCCAAAGACATGCGGGCTTCTGGGAAAACTGGCCCGGGAGTGAGTGTGTCTGTGTCTGACTGTCTGACTGTCTGCCCTGCAATTGAATGATCCAGGGTGTACAGGCACTAACTAACTGATGGATGGATATTTGTTAATTACTGTAAATATTCACAATAATAGTCAATATCAAAAACGTATAGCAGAATATACTATTTATTAAACTGAAATTAAAAGACCTATACAGTCTAAACACCATTTTAATGCACAGCAACAGCCAAAAAAATGTCGTAACTAACCTTATACTGCACAAAACAGGAACAGAGAAAAACAATTCATACTACAGAATAACAGGGATACACATATGCATTCTGAAATGGGAAAATTAATTATTCTTGTAATTAAAACAAAACCTTCACGCTCAGTCCTCTTCACTGGCCTTACCATAATGTGTTGTTTGTTGTCTGGGTTGACTGGGCAGGCTGATTAGATTCAGTGGTCCAGTCCTCTGATTGTTTTACCATCTTTTCAACACCAGGTTCTTCATGTTCTTTATCTTGCCTGTGAAGACTTCCTTTCACAGCAGCTCTGTATATCCTCTTGAACGTGGGGCTGGAAAAGTAGTAGACCACAGGGTCCAGCACACTGTTGAAATAGGTCAGGCTGACCGTGATGAAGAAGGCATCGTCCAGGGATTTATAGGAGTCACAGTCCTCAATGTGATGAGCCTTTTTGGCCCAGATGACCAGCCTGGTGACATTGCTGGGGAAAAAGCAGATCACAAACACCATCACCACCGCACCGACGAAATAGACAGCTCTCCTGATCTTTGAATGTTTGCCCACTTGTCTGCCCTTAAGCTGACAGATGATTTGTAAGGAGCAGTACAAGGTAACAGCCAAAGGCACCACAAACTCCAAGAAGTACAGAGCCTCGTGCCACACGCTGTCGGAGCCGTGATGTGTGATCGTCGTGAAGCTCTCGCAGTGTGTTGCGTTTTCGAAACAAAAGTGGTGTGGCATTGTCAGGAGGTACACTGTCATCGCTATGGCGAGAGCCCAGAGAGCACAAGCAAAGCAGGCAGCCTTGGCGATGGACATGGAGTTGACCGGGTGGTGGGGATGGACCACTCTGAAGTAGCGGTCCACTGCCACCGCCGTGAGGAACAGAATGCTGCCTCCGCGGTTCATCGCCAGCATGAACAGCGAGATGCGGCAGAAGACGTCTCCGAAGATCCAGTCCTTGCCCCTCACGTAGTAGCTGGTGCGGAAAGGGAGAATGATGCTGAGGAGGAAATCCGCCAGGGCCAGATTGAAGAGGAATACCGTGCTGGTCTTCCAGGGCTTCAGATGGAAGCAGAAGATCCACAGGGCAATCCCATTGCCCAAGGTGGCCAGCAAACACTCCACAAGGAGCACTGGAGGCAGAACGTAAAGGAGGACACTTCCGTCAAACCTGCAGGTGGTTTCATCTTCTGGACACGAGTCGTTCATCATCAGTTTTTTAACAACAATTGAAAAACCGAAGAACAAAAACAGCAGCAGTGTGTTTTGCACTTGTAACAGACAAAGATCTTTATCTAAACAGGCACTATGAAGCTTTTTTATATATATATCTCAAAGTTACATCCTCTACGTCATGTCTACAGAAGTCAAACATTTCCAAGAACCAGAACATTCTGTAGTATGAAGTTGAGTTATGAAGTTCCTCCATTTCTCATTAAAAATAAAACAGAGGTTAACCACAACACTGCAAAGAAAATGTTGCCAATGAGGGGATGCTGATCTGTTTTGTTTGAAAGGACATGATCAGATACAAGCTTCAGGGGCAGCACTACTGTTTTAAATATTTAATACTCAGAGATGTTTCATAAATAGAACTTGCTCGTAGTTTTATTGCACTTTTTTCATTTTCCCTGATTTGAGCTGCTGTTCAAATTCATTTTAGCCCCTGTACCTTCAGAAGGCTGTGCACAGGTAGACACACATACCGTGTCCTACAGGGCACCTAGGAGAGTTTGCAATGATTGTAGCTAAAAATCAATGATTGATCGCTTGCAAACTGCAAGGGATCGTAGCTGAATGATGAGACAATGACAGTCTCAACCCAGTCAGGGCTCAGACAATGGTGCAATGCTGTTTTGAAAGTACTAGGCATTGCTGGTTAATACAATGCCCCAAAATTAAAACACTGATGCCATTTGTGCAGATGAGCAACTGTGCTGATAGAGTCACTCAGCAGTCTGTTACTTGTCAGCTGTCTGTTACAGGGAGGTTCCATTAATGAAGTGAATGTGTTATGAACTGTTCCTACCAAAGAGCTCTGATTTTTCCAAAGATACAAAGATTTAATATGGAATCCAGAACTCAAATTCATTTTGCAGAGGGTCCAGTATTTGCAGACTGTTGCTATACTCTGAGTTGTCAACTGAACAATTATCCTAATTATTTTCTCAGATGACAGAGTTTTTTAAGGTCTTTTGTAGTTAATTACTCATTCACTTAATTTAAGGTACACCCCAATAAAACACCTTCAAGCCTGGTTAGCAGCTATTATTTTTAAGAAGCTAGATTGGTAATTAATCCAAATACATGTATGTAAGTGAGAGCTCAGGTAGAAAAAACAAATGAACCTGGTCCCTGCAGGAGCCCCTTGGACACCCTTGATTTAAATCCTCTCTTCACCGTCACCCTCCACTTACAAGAAAAGTTTAGAGTGCATGCTCCCATCAGGTGAGAACAAGGCTTACTTGATTTCCTGTAGAGAAAATCCCTAGGTTAAAAATGGTCTCTCCTGGTTGGTGGACACAGTTTTGGAATAGGGAGATGCTGTAGGTTCCTATTTTCGAACAGAGAGATAGGGAGATAGGTTCCCATTCATTTTGGAGCATGCAGGAGAGCAGGAGCCTGGCCCGGCAAGTGGACACAAACACACTTACACTCACAACATGGCCAATTGTTCCATAAGCCAATTAACCTGTATTTTTGGACTGTGGGAGGAAAGCAGAGCACTCAGAGGAAACACATGGGAAAAACCACAAACTCCACACAGATAGCTATCCAGCTTTGGAATTCAGTGCCCCAGTGCTGCGAGGCAATAGGAAAAAGCAATATGTTTAAGCTGTTGCTCTGTTGGGGTTAACCTGCGTACTTTGTAATCTATAGGTTTCTGAACAAAGACTTTAAGTTCATATCAGAGGTTTCCAACTATGATCCTGGGATCTGGAATCCAGTAGGATTTTCATTGACTTATAGGACATAGGAGAAGGGCTCAACTAATCCACTTGGGACTTATTTATCTACACACTTAAAGACATTGCAGACCTGCGGGATAACAGATGCCGAGGTTCCAAGATTTGGAGTTGAAAACCCCCGCTTTACATCAGACTAGAAAGACACACAAAAGAACAAGTGATGCATAAATAAGACTGTGTGCTTTCTCTTTGATTTTTGGTCACCTTAAGATTGAGCAAATAAAGCTTATTTACACTTAGCCAGATTAACAGCAAGCATTTGACAGGCAACAGAAAAACTGGCTAAGGAGCTGATCTGTCTTTGACTACATGTTTCTGTAAGTGCTTGAGGAACACCTAACTATCCCTACATACAACCTACAATATGGGGCCCAATGCTTATAGTGAGGTCTCACTGCTTATAGTGGCTCACACTTTCACTGACATACAAGTGTCTGATATTGCTTGATAAGGGCCAATTGTTAAGGGCTAATGGAAATTTGTCCAGGACGCCTGGGTTACACCCCTACACTTTTCGAGAAACGCCCTGGGATTTTTAATGACCACAGAGAGTCAGGACCTCGGTTTTACGTCTCATCCGAAGGACAACCCCTGTTTACAGTATAGTGTCCCCGTCATCCTCAGCACTTCGTGAAGGTTTGGAGAAGTGGATCGAAAAGGATTTCAAAGTGGGACTGGAAGGCTGGCGATCCTCACTAGTACGGAAAAGGATACTTGGCTCCTTCCGTTTCTCGTCGCCCCCCATTTAGAAATCCTCGGCAGGGCCTTTATCTTCAGACACCCGTCCCAGCAGGTCCCTTGGTGGGAAGGCAGTCCGAAAATGACTCACCCACACCGAGCAGTGCAAGTGCCCGTTTCACTGCTTTGCTCTCAGAAAGGAAGCTGAAGCTGCTCAAAGATGGTTGGATGACTAGAAATGAATATTACTACAGAAGAACTTATTTTAGAAGCTGGTCAGCACTTTTGCTGAAGCTGTGAAAACACTCGCACTCCTGCTGGTTTAGGGGTTGTGTAAACATTTGCTTAGTTCATACTTTTATTCTGAATGTATACAGAGAAGTATTGGGAGAGTGAAGCCAAAATTGCTATTTTTGCTGTATATTTTGCTGTATATTCAAGCAATTTCAAGCAGATTTGAGATTAAAAGATTAAAATGAGGTAAAGGTGCAGAATGTCACATTTTATTTCTGGGTATTTCTGCACTTACATGTTGTGCCGTTTTAGAATTATAGCACTTTTTGTGTTCAATCCTAGCAATTTAGGCGAGAATACTTATTGGGACAAATTAAATTAAATTAAAGCAGTACCTACAAACTTGGTATTTGGTATTTAATCCAAATTGCTTGAGCACACAGCAGAAATAGCAATTGTGACTTTGCTGTCCCAATATACCTATGGAAGGCACTGTAAATGTGTGCATACAGGTGTATATGCGTGTAAATCTGGTAAATGTTGTGGTGTGAAGAGAATTCTTTGGCGTTCTGCAGAGTCTAGAAACGAGAGGCTTCAACACTGCTGTGCAAAAGACAGTGTGTCCACAGTGAGGCCACATGCAAAACAGGAAATGTTAATAAAGAAATGACAAGTCATCCAAGGCGACCAAAATTGACTATTTATTAACCTAAAGATTACTTTAGTGCAGTGTTTTGAAGTAATTCACAATTATGTCAGACCTTTGGCAACCAAGAGAGAAGCAGCTATACAGAAATGAAAAAAATGAATGCAGGGGCCGGTCCACAGTTTCTATACAGTAAATAAAATAGATATAAAATGCCTTTACTCGTGTGTATGAGTGTTTGTATTTGGCCAGGTCATTGTGTTATGCTGCGCTCCTTCTCAAAAGTGCAGGTGGGCTCACTTCTTAACTTCCCCAAGATCTTCAATGCTGTCATCATCCACCTGCCAACGCAAAGAGACACAAGCACTGAGGCCCCTGTTCCGCAATGCTCACGCAACACACCCGGGAGAACAAGATACCTTTTCAGATGGATCTCTTGATAAAACTAGACTGTTTTTTCCCCACTATTGATAAGACAAACTGCACCATTTTTGGTCATTACAATTCAGAAGACCTTCATCAATGGGGTGTTGAACTTGAAATCATGAAGCTGGATTTCTAAGCAGTCACCATCAGGAATACTGTAATACTGTACCTTGTACCAGATTTGAAATGCTCCAGATGAGAAGCTGCGAGTGGCATTTTGTTTTTACAGTGGTACCCAAATATGTTGGAGATGTGCTGCTGAGATACGAGCCTTACTGTGACTCAGTTTTCCCCATAAGGAAAAAAAGGGGGTGGATTCTGCATCTAGAATATACGGTCTACACAATCACCTAGGTTATTTGTTGGTACATTTATTAGGTTCTTTTATTATTTTCCTCAATGACAATACAGAGTGCATAAAATGCAAGATATGAATTACTGAAAGTGTGTTTTTGCTTCAAGCAAAATACTTAATGCAGGATTAAAAGCTCTACATGATGAATGCTTCCACTTCTGTTTATTCGCTTTAAATGATGTATTCATGAACATGGTGTGGTAACATGCATAAATGGCGTATTAAAATATTAAAATGAAGAAGTAAAACATTGCATTTACAACGCGATGTGTCTGGCCATGTGTCTGCTGCCCTAAGACTTGTTTATCAGAGCTACTTATCTGTGAAACATTAAGCAACAGAAATTAGTAACATCTGGGAAAGGAGATAAATAATCAATTCCTGTTTTGTATATCTATGTACATCTGCATACATATCCATAATAAATGGAAAGCATTGATAGTGACCATTTAGGTTAAGGAGTAATTAAAAATATTTAATCACTGTTTAAAGCACCATTAATAACGTTGAAAATTGTTAACTGACTGTTGTAAGAGACACCTAAAAAGAAATGTCACTGCGGGAGAAGGCGATGGAGTTCAGCAAGGGTCAGTGCCGGGATCCAGAATGTCCTTGTGTGAGGGCTGGGAGTGTTGTGTGGGGACTGGGGAGGGAGGTAGATGTGTGGATGGATAAATCTTGGCTGGTGGCCCAGGGTGCAGGAGAAACTCTCTGTGCCGAGAGTCGGTGAAAGTGGAGTTCTGTTTTACTCCTGGAACGTCTGCAAATTTTGCAATACATGACATGCTTCTTATTATTTTTTGAGATGGAGAGATGTGTGTGTGTACATATTCCAGGAGGGATTTGTCCAAGCCTCAAATTGCCCTGAAGCTTCAAGACGTCTGCGCCAGAAGAATAGGACAGGAATGGGCTGCAGATATTTTATCGTGGCGTGTCTCATTCTAGCTGTGATTGCTGTCACATCATTTGGTGGGTGTTTTTCTTGTTTTATTCTAGACATCCTCATTCTTTCCAGCTGAAAGGCAGCTGTGCAAGGTAAGCGTTAAATTCAGCATGTGAAAAAACAAACTGATCTTTATCATCACGGACACAAGGATGAAAACCTACAGGAAAGTACATTTCTATTTATGATGTTAACCTTCAGGTTCTCCTTACCTCAGGCCACTTTTCTTGAATCACGTCGATGATGTCATCTGTAAAATCTCCCTGAATGATGATTTCGTCCTCTGCTGTAACCGAGGCGCCACAGGAGAATTTCTGAGCAAAAAATCTCTGTGCTTCTTTAAGGTCAATATCTACAGAGGGAGAAAAAACGCAATCAAAGCCAAGTGTCCATGTGAACCTGGAACAGAACTTCAGCCTTATGAAGAGCTGACCTGAATGTGCTTGAGCCAGGCTGATGTTTCCCAGAACTTCAGTATATAACAGATACAGTATATGTGTCATTTCACTCTGAAACTCAACTGAATAGTTAAACCAAATTTAAGGTTAACATGAAAATAAATGTTTCTTATATATAACATATAATAATAATAATAATAATACTAATACTAATTGCTTACACTTATATAGCGCTTTTTCTGGACACTCCACTCAAAGCACTTTAAAGGTAATGGGGACTCTCCTCCACCACCAATGTGCAGCCCCACCTGGATGATGCGACGGCAGCCATAGTGCGCCAGAACGCTCACCACACATCAGCTATTAGTGGGGAGGAATGTAGCCAATTCATAGATGGGGATTATTAGGAGGCCATGATTGGTAAGGGCCAATGGGAAATTACATATATATAAGAATGTAATATATATTTGTATTTTCTCTTTTGAATTGTAACAAGTGAAAATTCATGTGAAGAGAAGTTTTAGGCTCGCAGATACCTTATGTCTGCAAAGTTACATTGTGCTACATGTTCTCAATTTGCAAACAAATGATGCACTCCTTGCTAAAGACAGTATTATCTTTAACGACAGAAAACACTGCAACACCTTGGTTTAATGGGCTCAAAAGGGGAGGTTGTTGTCTGTTACATTTTGTTGTTGCCACCACATCAGCCACTTGATCCCTTGATCCAGAAGTGCAGCAGCCTGTACTTGTTACTACCTTATCTTTGGAACTCCATCCCAAAATAAAGCAGGAATGCTGACATCAGAGTCTTTTTAAACCAAAAACATGTTTGAACTCACTAGCTCTTCATCTGCAGTCTAATGGGTTAATATTGGTTTTACTAAAACTCGCATGGCCAAAGCCAGCCTCCTGGCCACAGAACAAGGAGACTAGGACCCACGCAGAGGGAGGAGTGACCAAGGGGCAGCTGCAGGGGTAGAGATGGGAGGGGAGGAGGGATGCAAAAGACATAAGCGAGGGAGGGAAGGAGATAATATACCGTATTTATAATGTTTTAGGTGAGGAAGCGCTTGAACTCGGTCGTCGTCATCCCTCCCGAGCTTTTAACACTGCGGGGTGGTTTCCCACGAACGTGGATCGACATTCCCTGCAGTACACGTCTGGAATGCGCTCAGCAGGGAGTGATATCTACTGAGCAAACCGCAGTGGTAGGCCTTTCTTTCTTTGCAGAGTGCATCCGTCCCACCCCCGTGTGCCGAACCCCGAATCCCCTTGTCAAGTGGACATCCCAAAACTGCCAACACGAAACACGCGGGCCCGATTCTTACCGAAAGTCGCAAGACCACACACTCGAGTCACGTATTTCTTCTTTGCCCTCGGGATTTTGGCTATTGTTACTTTCTGGGGCACTGTCTTCTTCTTCTGTTTAATCTGGCCTCGGCCGCCTAAAAGGAGAGAGGCGCAGGGGTCAGAGTTCAGCTTTCGGCACAACATTACAGTGAAAGCAGGTTGGGGTACTTGTAACATTCACCAGTTTTAGCCTAGTTCTCGTTACCTTGATGATTCCTTGAAGCATTTTTTCCTGTAGTGTACTAACAGTAGTTTATTAGCTCTCAAAGAAGTGCATATGTACAGCTCGATTTCCACGTGTCTTTGAACTGAATTTTACGGCAATTTACCTAACATCATCATTTTGGGTGCTGCCCTTTTGTGTCCTGACTGCAGGTACACCTCCTCTGAGAGTGTGGTAAGGAGTGGACATGGATGTGGGGAATGCCAAATAGTTTTGCAAAACTATACAGATTTCCTCCCAGAGATCACAAGCATTGGTCTGAACAGCAGCGCTCACTAGCCTATGTGAGAAACATTCTATCCACTCCTATCAAAACCACATCCTAATTTCTAAAGAAGACCACACACTTGCTACAACACATAGCGTGGTGTAGAAATTAAGAAGATAACAGCCTGGATCAAATAGTTTGATGAATAAAAATGACACCAAAATGGTCCGTTTTATATGACTGCAAAACTGAGTCTCTGCAGTAAGCCACTCTCTTGAAAGAGAAATGCTTGCCCTTCTTCCCACGAGATCTGAGTCACACAGGGAGTAAACAGGGAAGCATGGGTAACGGTTTGGTAATGAAGTGTACCTAGTCACTTTAGCAGTTCACAGTCTGCAGAAAGAAGAGTGCAAGATGGAAATAAAGCAGGGCAAAATGAAGAAGCCTAATTCAAGTATACTAAAAACCCATGCAGTGGTATCATGTTAGTGGAAGGCAAAACACAAGTCAGCAAAAACACAAAAATAGTGCTTTGGGCTCTGGACTCATAACTGGAAGGCTGTGGCCTCAAATTCCAAGTGGGTCACTGTCACTGAGCTAGGTACTTCACTTAGGGTGCCTCCAGTAATGCACCCAGGAGCAGATCTGCAAGTCCCTTTCAGTGATCAAATTCAGCCAATTCGCACTGTAAAGTTTCATGAATTGGCTGCATGGCAGCCATTTTAAAGTCCTCTTCTGAAAACAGGGGATAAAACATGTAGTTTCACAGGTAGGGAGGTACTAGTACACCGTATTTTCTTTTCGATGGCTACAGGTTCGAATGAAGTGTTTATTATAATGCCGGGCAGGATGTTTTTAAGGTCGTGAAAGAGGAAGGGTAGTATAAAAAAAGACCGCATCCCGCCACACCGCCTTCACCTCTCTTTTGCTTCTTTTTTTCCTCTTCCTCCCCGGGAGCTGGGGCCTCTCCTCCTCCGCTGTCCTGTTTGGGAGTATTCCCTGCAAGAGACAGCTCCGTCACGGCCGTTCACGCCACACACAGCACGAGCCGGCTCGCGTCAACAAGCACAGGCTCCTGGGTGGCGTGGAACGCTGACACAGAAGTCGAGTAAAGCAAAGAAAAAAAAGTGATTTCATTCTCTCCTGCATTTCCTGCAGCCTAAGACCAGGCCTCTTCTGTAAGCAGTATATTAATTACAGTAAACCAGTACTTGAGTAATAAAAACATCCTGCTGACTCACTCTTTTCCAAGTAACCAGAGTGAGGCTGTCCACTTCGAAATGCCAAAAGCAAGAACTGGGGAAGAAAAACTGTTTTCAAGGAAACTATGTCTCCTGAATTACACCTGTAGTGCTGCTTGAGACAGAAATCTAAAAGCAACTTGAATGACTGTAGAAAAGGTTTGTTGGAGTACCTTTAAACTTATCTTTGGCAATTTGTGCTTCCCGGTTAAAAACATTTAAACTCTGCAAACTACAAAACAAAGTGAACTGCTTCTCACTGAACATCTCAGTCCTTGAAGTTTTGCTTCAAACACAGTTTACAAATGGCTCTGGTCACTAGTTTCCCTCAGTGTGTATCATTGCACATTTACCTTTCAAAGTACTGAGATTAACGTTGAGGATTAACTAAGGATCACAGAGCCACAGCACCTGTGATTGGAAAGTTGCCAGTTCAAATCCCGTGGCCAGCAGATGAATCCTACTCCACCGGGCCCCTGAGCAAGGCCCTTAACCCCAGCTGCTCCAGGAGTGCTGTACAATGGCTGACCCTGCGCTCTGACCCCAGGCTTCACTCTCTGTCTGTGTGTCTCATGGAGAGCAAGCTGGGGTATGTGAAAAGACAAATTCCTAATCCAAGAAATTGTATATGGCTGATAAAGTGATCTTATCTTAGATTCTTTTCAACAGAACAGGAATATATAATAATATTAAGCATTGTCACTGTAACTATAATGGTTAATAACACTAAAAAAACATCTAATGCCCTGAGGACAATGAATTTGTTTTGCAAACTAGCGCAGACATTTTAAAGGGTGGTGTGTGCAAAATAAAAAATGAAAATGCGAAACACTGATTATGCTGTATTTCATTCTGTAAAACCGAATGAAAATACTAAAAAAAAAACAGAATTTTGGCCTAGACTTACCTACGCTTAGCTTTGCAAACTCATCTGGGAAGTTCTTCTCCAGCCACTGCCTGCACTTTGCAGGCTCCGGCATGTATTCACAATACTGGGAGGACAGCAGACAGTACAAGATCATCAGAAAGTTCAGAAATAAGAGGACCCACAAACCTGTTTACTTTTAGCAAAAGGACCCTGCACCCTGTGGTCATGTATGTGATGTTCATGTTAAGTGGACAATTTGTTCTTGATTACAATGCCAAAGGAATTTAAAAAAAGGTCAGCATGACTTTTCTATCTCAGGTTTGAAGTGGTCAAATTCCTTAAAGATAATTGTCTTATCCTGATTTGGAGATTTGCCAGAGCAGGGTGGGTTTCACACCTCTTAAGAGGAATAATTCCTCAGTACTTTTTTTTAGACAGCATCTAAAAAAATTATTTAACTGTATTATGTAGGTATTATTTTTCATATCTAAATTGGTCAGCATGAAATATAGGAAGTTCCTTGAGGCATAAAAGACTGTGAAAACATGCTACACATTTTGAAAAGGAAGGCTGTTCTGTACATACCTCTGTTGGCAAAGAGCAAACTGCAAAACAAGAACAAGCAACAGTAAGTGAAGACATATGCAGATATATGCTGAGCTACTCGTTTGGAAAATCCCAAGCGCTAAAAATGTCTGGCTAGTAGCTCGCTGTTCAGAAAACCTTGATTAAAAGGCGCATCAAGGAGTTAAAAATAAAAAAGACATTTATCTCCATGACATCAACACATGTTTTCCTAGCATTAGTCAAAACAAATACAATAACACTTTATGTTCCGGATATCCTTCCTTACCAAAGTGCTATCAGTATTCAAGTGTAAGGATGGCAACACACATTAATGTTTGTCTATCTAAAAATAAATAGACAAGTGCCTGTCTACATGCATGTACACTTAAATACAGTAAATCCGTTTTTCAGCACACTTTTAAAAGATGTGCTTACATTTCCATTACACCCTGAGAGCATGACTATATGCTTATTGTGGGCATTGCGTCAGAAAAAAAAGTGTATGAAGCCTGGGGCATTTCTCAATAAGGGAAACTAGAATATGCAATAAAAACAGCAGTGACGCATGGCTTTAGAAGAAATCAGCAACACATACATTAATCCTAGACAGAATTGCCGTGTTGAGCTGTTACCTCAATTGTCAGAAGTTTAAAATTTGACAGCACATCTATTTAAAAAAAATCAGTCAGAAAAAGGACGACACGTTTTTTTATTATAAAGTGTCACATCTGGAAGATGGTTCTTTGGAAAGGAGGAAAGAACTGTCATTCATTTTCAATTTGAAAACCAAATGCAAACAGAAGTGTTCAGAACACTTTGTGCAACCTATAATGAAATGTATAATATTCACACATCTTAGCTGCACAAAATTTAGGGAGACTGTAATGAACAAGCCTAACATCCCTGGTTTTAAATGTTATACTTTTAACTGTATGTCTTAGCTTCTGCTTGCTTTTCTAACTGCTTCCCCAGATCATCTAGAAGAGGCATGTTTTGCATAGACACCTACCTCTTTTTCTTAAGTGGATTCTGCAAAGTCAGCAAATCTAGAATTTCTGTTTCTGCCACCTGTGTATAATATTTTACATTATACATCAGCAGTGTTTGTTACTCTGTCCTGAGTACATGACTCATAAAAAGGTGGTTTCCATCAAGGCCAAACACATTTCTGAACCTCTGATATTTAAAATAAGAATGCCTAGGCAACAACTGCACTTGCAAATAAAAACATTTATTACATTTGCAATCCTAAAATGAATCAACTGCCACCTTACCTCCACAGTAGAGTACTTTCAATGGGTATTTTGCATCTGAGTCAGCAGATCTGCGATCCACTTTGCTCTCTGGTGAACCTGATTCAGCATTTTCAGTAGTAGCCATGTTATATTGTCTAAAGAAAAATGGAAAATTATTATCAATTCAGTTTTCACAACAGATTGCTTGAAAACCATTTTCGATTAAATAATAAAAATGATCCCAGGAGCATCACAGAGCAGTTTGCACTCTGGCCCTTACACTCAGGCATCGGACTAATGAAACACCTTCAACACCCAATTCCTGCAAGAACTCTAGTTGCACTTCGTTAAACGCCAAATTTGGGGATTCTCTTTTATTAAGCTTTGTGTGACATTCTAACACGTTGGGGGTCCTCACAGCCTCCCCTTAATGACATCCCTGCTTGTGGTATGTAAAGGATACATAGTTCTGCCGAGAATATGCATCACAGGATGGTGTTCTCATTCCCTCTGTGCAGGCACAAGGGTTGAAGTTGTGAATCACAGTCCATTAACAACCACCATTTCCAAACTAAGTAGTACCTAGCTGTGCTTGATGTGTTCGTTCTGGTAGCATTTATTTGGGAAGCCAGGTACTAGGTCCATGATTTCTCTTATTAAGCACTGACAGATCCAGGTAAGGTTGCCATACCAGTTAGCAGCACAGATTGACTTTCTTAGCCATTTCCTTAATGACTGTTGCCATTGAGCAACACTCCACTAAATTATGAAGCAACTCACAACAGAACATTCGACAGACTTGAGCAAAATGACCAAATATTTTTCAAAAACTGCCAAACAAGTACTTCCAAGTAGCCTGAACAGCAAAGGAGCTTGTTCTGAGCATCACCTGTGTCATACCCAGGACTCAGCAACTTGCCCACAGCAGGATCAGTAGGTGTCTGTTTTTGTGGACACCTATGTCGAGGTGAAATGAAGCTCTTATTTAATTCCTCAGTGCTGTCGGAATAAATAATAGAAGATTCCCGTTTTTAATCACCAGGTTTTGCCTGAGGGAAAATGGAAATGCATGGAATGGGATTACCCCCAGAAAGCTCCTTCCCCTAGGATGAGTCATCTGTGACAAACCTGCTTTTTTCTAACAAGATGTCTACAATTTCCTGGAATGCTACCGACCCAGGAATATTAACGTGGCAAAACAGCAACCCCTGTAACTTCGCTGGTGCTCGTGGTGACATCAAAGGAGGTATGAGTCTTTCCTTTAATTCAGTCAGGGGCTTGTGGCATGCCAAAATGAGTGGGAGGGCCGGAAACTCACTCATAGCCAGCCTGTCATTTCTGGACTAACAACAACAAAGTAGTTGTCATCACAAAACAAAATAATTGAGCGATACATTTGAAACTACCCGAAACTTCTATCGGATGCTGAGGAAAATCTTAACACCACACAACTCCCCATAGTGCACCACAGTTATCTGTGATTTTAGTTCCTTCTTAAGACACTTACAAGATACACACATCAGACTTGACAAGGTTTTTAGTGAGTCCTGTGTGAGCACCGGAGTTGTCACTATAGACAGAAGTAGACAACTGGCACTTCCAAATTAGGTGTGTATACAACCAAAATAACTTGCCTAATAGTGCCATCTAGTGAATCATAGAAAAATGAAGCTCAGTATTAGCTAAGGCTCAGACCTAAAAACCTTTCTTTAAGTTGCATCAGACTAAATTCTGCATTGTGCAAACTAACTATCCTGTAAAACACGACTGATTTTCCTGTGTTACATGGTCATGTTTATATCAGTAATGAGAAAATAAATGTAATTTTATATAAACTCTATATTGTAAAGTTCATTTTATAAGTACAATAAAAGGCATTCTTGGTACCTGCACACATAATGTAAAACAAAATAAAATCAAGAAAAGAAATTATTCAACCGAGTATAAACTAATATTTGCATGATGAATAAATGGAAACCAAAACGTCTGGCAACACAAAAAAAATACAACACACCTTAAAAACATTGTTTCGACCGTGGAGCCTTCTTCAGGTGAACCTGAAGAAGGCTCCATGGCTGAAACGTTGTGTTTTCTTTCTTTTTTTTTTCGAGCATGAAATAAACCTATTACTTGTTCCTTTGCAGCCTACGCATGCTGACGCAGCTACCCACCTTAAAAACATTGTGCCTTGGTTTTAAAAGGACTGTATAAAAATACAGATAATTACAGGAGTGCTGTTTTTTTCTGGTACTGGATATATGGGAAAGCTCTATACAGCACCCAACAGCCTTGGAATGTAGAAAGAACTACATAATTTCCAAGGTAGGAAGTCCCTAGTTGTACGACTGCATGTCATGATCAGCCTCACTGATCAATTAGTGTCTCCACCGTCAGCAGTTTGGAAAAAAATATTACCACTGTCTATGAAAAATGAACATCATGGAACGCTATATAAAAGGGAGTCAATCGAGTATGTTACATTTCTAATTATTCGTCAGTGCGATAATCAATACCCTGCAACTCGATGCCACTGACTGCATTGAGACCAGAGCTCAAAAGTAGGCTCACCTAGAACGAAAACGACGGTTTCAGCGACACATATTTAAGCACAGAAATGTTATAAATGGATGAAAAGTCTACTAGGGACATCGCTTCTGAGATATATTTCTCGATAAAGGAAAACGGATATTTAACCATGTCAAAAAAAGTAACCCCTCTTAATCGTAATGGTAGAAACGATATCTCATATAGCTAGTTGTTAAAGTGCTGACCACTTTTCTGGAGACGGCGTATCATTGCAATGACAGAGACATTCATCTCTGGGATTATTTCTGGAAGAAAAGCATTGTGTGAATAAGCATACGATTACAAATCAGAGTATGAGAAAATATTTTTTTCGAAAACCTATTAACTGTTAAAACTTTTAATATGAAGAAGACCAATATGGTCTCTCTCCCAAGCGACTTTTCCACCCCATTCATTTCCACGATAGAACTTCACAATGAACTATAAATATAAGATAACTTTTAAAATAATACCTACCGTGTAATTACAACCCTTAATTTATGTACTGCCAATCGAAAACCTAAGCATTATTAAGTACTGCTAAATGATGATTAAAAAATAAACGATCACCAAAAGCACACCTCTCCTCTCTGGTCTTGGTCGGGGTCCTTGATTATCCAGCGGGCGCTTAGATTTAGCATCAAAGAGCGCTCTCACAAATGCCTGAAAGAAATCCATCTACTTTTTTATTTTTCTGACCTGTAAAAGGACATAAACTTCGTGTTAACTTTTTAAACAACATGTAGTGTTAATTAGGTGCATTATTAACAGTACCTTAAAAGATTTTATAAATATATTGGGTACTATCTGAATTTTGCGACAGGCTACTGTGATGCAGGGGGTGGTCCCCCTGTAGTGACTGCAGTTGCTTTTGGGGATTATATTTACAATATGATGTCCAGTTTGAAATTATTAAAGAAATATTTCTGTAAGTAAAAAAGGTGGTAAAACTATATCTAGTAAACTATACGCAGTCATTTTCGTTACGATATAACCTTATTAACACGAATTAAGTTCTGAAAGTACTTGGAAATCTTATAGGTATCTACTTGTGTCTAGGGACCTCAAGTTGTTAATATATATGTATATTTTTTAATTTCCAAAATATTTAAATTACGTGTGGACGTGTGTGTGTCTGGGGAAGCTTGGAGCCCTGCATAATACGTAGAAAAAGTCCGAAGACGTTCATTGGTCGATGTTGTTAATAAAGTAACTAAATTGTCGAATGTTAGCAAAATAAATAATGAATAGTTGTGAAATTCATGCTGGTTTAAATTAAGCCTTCCGAAAAATGTGCATGAACGGGGTAGATATATCGTATTGGAAGCATTAAACTAATTTAATAGTTTATTGTGAAAAGCTAACAAAAAAGTAACTCCATATCCCATAAAT